TACATTTTTTTTGACATTTTCCCAAAACACCAAAAAAGAAAAGAAAAAATATTATAAAAAAAACGAGTAAAAAAAAGAAATCATGATTTTTTTTAGTTTTTTTTTAAATATGAATCCCGCCCTTTGGGTCCATTTGGACCCGAACACCCCAAGTGTGACTCTGAAGCGAACAACCCCAGAGGGTTAAGATATTTTAGATTTAGTCCGAGAGCTTTCTGTCCCTCCACTGAACATGTACATGGTAAACTGTCCTTGTCCAGAAAGGAAATAAGTTAGTTAGAATTTTTTTGAATCATCAAAAATACATTTTGGTCCAAAGATAACAAAATCTATGTCTTTATTCAACATCGTATTCAGGCATGGGCTCGCTGCTCATTAAGAAAATCCGTGAGGAGTAGGCCTAACCAAACCGCATCATGTGCACCTTCAGCGTGATGCCCTCACCTAGTCTCAGACACTGTTGTAGAGCCTTACAATGCCACGCTGTCCGTCCATCAACTGGTGGAGAACACTGATGAGACGTTTTGCATCGTCAACAGGATCTGTTTGACATTTGCTTCTGTTACAGGTACCGGCTGGTATGTGAACAGGAGAAATAAATGAGACAGGGCAAAGTCTGCGTCCGTCTTTAATCTCTCTCAGCAGAAAGAGAGCCAAGAGGGTTTATTCCACAATCACATTCCAACTTGGTTACAAACACACAATGTTTTCTCATGAAATAGACAGTTTCAAAAATAAAATACAATTTGTCTTCTCCTCTTTAAGCAATTACTGAGATATAAATTGTGTATGATCAAATAAATAAAAAAAATATATTTGTATAACGTTTTTTCGAATGTGTTTGACTTTTCACTGTTTGTATAGACCATTTCACAAGATGTAAACAACACTGGTCCAGAAGCACTTCCTGTTTCAGTTTTTTAACGCTACATAAAAGCTGGGATAAAATACAACCAACAGAACATTTAAAACTGAATCAAAAAGTTAAACAAACATCTTTAAGATGTTTTCTTTACATGTGAAATAAAGAAAACAGTTACAAACTGAAACAGGAAGTGCTTCTGGACCAGTGTTGTTTACATCTTGTTGTCTGTGTATGCGCTACTTGCATCATTAAGCCAGAGGGTGGCGACAAGACTGTCTTTTTGAGTGAGCCGTTAATTAAATTAACAGATTAGTCCAAAAGACATAGATTCATTTAAGAAAGAAAAGTAGCTGAAACTGGAACTGATTCTCATCATGTTTAAGAATCTGATCAAATAGGCTACTTCATGCTTTTAAAGCTACTGTTGTCATTTTTTTTGACCATCAAAACACCTTAAAATGCTCATTTCGAGATCATGTCCCCGAACCCCCCTAACAATATCATTTATGGGACCTGGGTATTTAGAAAACCATATGTGCGGCCCTGATATGCAAGAATACTGATTCTATGTGTTCTATTGTATTTATTATACTCTATTCTATATTCTTGCATATTGAATAGTACTAATGCAAGACTAGTAGTCTTACATGTCACTGTTTATAACACAGAGCGTTCATCCTTTGCTGGGATGCTTAAAAAAATATTGGGGGCATAAATTAAGAGTATACCCACTAACTCAAAAAAAAAAAAAAAAAGGAAAAAAGTTATGCCCTCTAAGATGGCGCCTCAGGGGAGGTCACGTGTGACAGTTGGTTAACTGCAAGACAGAAAAAAAGAAAAAAATAACAAGAAAAAAAAAACTGCAAGACAGATATCAAACTTCACTTTAAATAAGATTATTTTCATACTACTAAGAGAAACGATGTGCGTGGGCGTTGGCCGTCTGCCAAGGCGTCCTCTCGCTGCACTGCCCTGTGACATCACAGTAGCCTCCACTGCACTTCACTGTCTCTCCGCTTGGTTTCGAACGTCTTTGGAAGAACATTGAATTTGTGAAATCTGCACGGTATTATATTTTTATAACGAACTCTGAAACGTCCAAACATCAAGGAAAGAAGAACCAGATGAACGACCGGTCTGTGAAACTTTCCGTGAACTGTATTCAGAATAGCTGGACCCTGTCCGACGACGACAAGGTAACTTAAGGAGTTATAATTGCTTTTTTTTAGTAACGTTATGTTTGATATAGCGTGAAATTTATCTAAGTTAGTGCAAAGTGCCCGAACAAAATCAGTTTTTGTGTGTTTTAGTAATTGTTGTTTTTTATGTGTTTATGTCAGAATGATTATTTTTGAACCACAACCTTCTAAGTGCTTCTTATATAGTTATTTACTGATATACACTACCGGTCAAAAGTTTTATATCGGTAAGATTTTTTATGTTTTTAAAAGAAGTATCTTCTGCTCACCAAGGCAGCAATTATTTGATAAAAAATACCACAAAAAACAGTAATGTTGTGAAATATTATTACAATTTAAAACAGCGGTTTTCTATGTGAATGTATAGTGAAGTGTAATTTATTCCTGTGATCAAATCTGAATTTACAGCATCATTACTCAAGTCTTTAGTGTGACATGATCCTACAGAAATGACTATAATATGATGCTCAAGAAACATTTATGATTATTATCCATGTTGAAAACAGTTTTTGAAATTTTTATTTCAGGATTCTTTGATGAATAGAAAGTTCAAAAGAACAGAATTGATCTGAAATGGAAAGCTTTTGTAACATTAATCACTGCCCTTCAAAAGTTTGGGGTCAATAAGAATTTTTATTTTTTTATTTTTGGGGGAAAGAAATTAGAAAATACTTTTATTCATCAAGGATGAGTTAAATTGATCAAAAGTTACAGTAAAGACATTTATAATGTTAGAAAAGATTATATTTTAAATAAATTCTGTTCTTTTGAACTTTCTCTTCAACAGAATTTTGGGGGGGAAATGGTACACGACTGTTTTCAACATTGAAAATAATATTTTATGTTTTTTGAGCATAAAATCAGCATATTAGAATGATTTCTGAAGGATCATGTGACACTGAAAACTGATGATGTTGAAAATTCAGCTTTCAAATTACATTTTAAAATATATCAAAATAGAAAACAGTCATTTTAAATTGTCATAATATTTCACAATATTACTGTTTTGTCATTTTTTCATCAAATAAAGCAGCCTTGGTGAGCAGAAGAGACTTCATTTAAAAACATAAAAAATATTACTGATCTAAGACTTTTGACCGGTAGTGTATTTTGCATTTATAGCTAATCCAAACAACGTAAAACTCGTCACTGCACCTGTAGCAAGACACCAGTCAAGTCTGAAATCCATCACACACACACAAACACACACACACAGACGTTCCTGTTATTTTTAGATAGATTTGAGCCGCTCAGTTTGAGTTATATGAGTTATATGTTGATGTTGTTCTGTCTCTGTTTCAGTTGAGAATGGCCAAATTAGTTGTGGACAATCATCGTCTGGCCACAAAACTTCCTGCAATCACTAAAGATCTGGTGGACAACAGGAAACATTGCCCACAGCTCAGGTGTGTGTGTGTGTGTGTGTGTGTGTGCTCAGACGTCAGTGTGTAGCTGGTTAACATAGTAACTCAGCGAGGTGTTTATTTGAGCTGCGTCTCATGTATATATAAAACATCTAAACAAGATGTAGAAATTATTTTGAAATAAAGTAAAACATTAAAAAAAATATTCTATTTAATTTGACAAGTAATAAAAATGTTATTTATGTTATGTTATGATAATGTTATATATCTGGTTTTACAGTGTAAACACACAGAGAAAGAAGGAGGAGCTCAACCAGCCAATCATGACGCAGGAGTCAGATCACAGGAGGGGCCGTAAAATGGTAAGTACTTGACCGAGCTTTATTTTTAAAGAGGCGTTTACAACAAAAAAGCATTTAAGGCTTAAGTTATCGAGATAAAAATCAACCCGATTTCAAGGGAGGACCAGATTTGTCAACACAACAGCTTCTCGAACAAGAAAAAATGTAGGGCGGGGCTTAAAAAGGAGAATGGCGCTGAAAACACAAACCTGCCAGACATTAAGGGGTTTTATGGAACACTTATCGCTTATTAAGGGATTACTTAAATGAAAAAACAGCATTTATGGGAAATTCTAAGTGTTTATGACGTTACACTTGATTGACATAGTACACCATTTTAAAGGGATAGTTGATTTATTAAACAGGTACCATATATCTATTCATCTGTTTATTTCTTCATTTTTAATTTCTGCAGGTTGCGTCCCCCACACAGCGGAAGCCGTCGGCTCTCTTACCAATGAGGGAATGGGATGAGCAGCACCAAAGACATATGCATCAACAAAAGGTATTAGGGAAAACATTTTGAAAAACAGTTTGTGAATAGGCTACTACGAATGATAGCCGTGAATAAAATATAAGTAAACATGTTAGTAACCATAGCTGATATAAATAAGTTTGTTTAATTTGATTTCAGCTTTGATTATTCTTCTGTTGCTTATTGTTCTGTCTCTCTCTCTTTCTCAGCTGATAAAGGCCAAAGCTGTTGTTGACACCAAGGGCCCCGAAACACTCCCTCATATTAGAGACAATCGGACGAAAGTCCAGGTATCTGATTAATTAATATAGTTATATTAGCTATATATTATATATATATATATATATATAGCTCTATAACAGTACTATTGCCGATTACAGTGATGTGTTATGAAGTAACGTTGAGTAGATGAAATGCATGATAATAACAGTGTTTGTCTTCAGTTGCAGAAAGAAAAGAAAATGTCTCTGGGAAAACAAGCAGAATGACCAGCGAATCCTGATGCTGGAATCAGGTTTCAGGAGGGACGTCTGGGAAGCTGATTGGGAAAAGGTCCAGCAATGGAGAGACAACTGCTCCAGGTTTCCACGAGGAAGAGACAACAAACAGGTATGATCGTAATTCACACTTTTTAAAGCGGAGCTAATTTCTTCTTCATTTTCTTGCCTTCATCATGTTTCCAACCCTTCTGTGAAACACAATAGCACACCATTGTGGATGCTCACGCTGCTCTTGTTAATGCCTGTGAAAAACAGCATGTCAAGTGGGTTCGAAATCATTATTTTAAAGCACTAAATGGTTTAGCTCCTCAGGACTTGAGCGATATTTATTTTTAAAGAGGCGTTTACAACACAAAAAAACATTGAATATCTATTTATCTGTTTATTTCTTCATTTTTAATTTCTGCAGGTTGCGTCCCCCACACAGAGGAAGCCGTCAGCTCTCTTACCAATGAGGGAATGGGAAGAGCAGCACCAAAGAAATATGCATCAACAAAAGGTATTAGGGAAAACATTTTGAAAAACAGTTTGTGAATAGGCTACTACGAATGATAGCCGTGAATAAAATATAATATTCAAGTAAACATGTTAGAAATGTTAGTAACCATAGCTGATATAAATAAGTTTGTTTAATTTGATTTCAGCTGATGATTATTCTTCTGTTGCTTATTGTTCTGTCTCTCTCTCTTTCTCAGCTGATAAAGGCCAAAGCTGTTGTTGACACCAAGGGCCCCAAAACACTCCCGCCTATTAAAGACAATCGGACGAAAGTCCAGGTAATCTGATTAATTAATATAGTTATATTAGCTATAT